AAGTAAGTTTCATCCCAGAGATGCAAGGACGGTTCGACATACGTAAATGAATAAATGTAGTATATCACATAAATAAGAGCAAGGTCAAAAATCAGATGATCATATCAATAGATGCAGAAAAGGCTCTGGACAAAATTCAACACCTTTCCATGATAAAAACCCTCAAGAAAGCAGGGCGTGGTGGTGCATGCCTGTAATCCCAGCACTGGGAGGTTTAGGCAGGAGGATTATTTGCAAATTCAAAACTAGCCTGGGCTAGAAAGTAAGCTCAAGGCCAGCCTGAACTGCATAGGGAGACCCTGTCTCAAAAAGCCAAAAAAAAGCTGTACTACAAACAATAGTGATACAAAGTGATACAAAGCATGGTACTGGAACAAAAATAGGTAAGTAGATTAATGGAACAGAACTGAGGCTGCAGAAACCTCCCCAGGCATATTCAAGTATTTGATCTTTGACAAAGGGTTAACAGCGTATGCTGGAGGAAATACAGCCTATGTAACAAGTGGTGCTAGTGGGTGTGGTGGTGCACTAAGACTCCAGAAACAAGGGCAATTTTCAATAAATCAAACAGTAACAGAAGCTAGGCATGGTGTACACCTATAATCCCAGCACTCAGGAGGCTGAGGCAGGTGATTGGCTTGAGTTCAAGGCTAGCCTGGGCTACACAGTGAGTTTAAGTCCAGCCTGAACTACATAATAATGAAACCCTGTTTCAAAATTAATTAATTATTGAAAAAACTGTATCTTACAAAATATAACTGAATAAATTTCTGCTGGGTTAAATATTCAAATAAAAATGAATTAAGTGTGATTTTCATGTACCAACTCTCCACAATGAATGCGATAATTATATACTGTAAACATGTACTAATAGAAGAAATGAAACTTTTAAAAACATCATATACACTTCGAAAAAAAATTCCATTTAAAAAAATTCTCTTTTTTCTTTCTTGGTGTGTGTAAGTGTGTAATACTGGATACTGAGCCCAGGGTCTTCACACTCAGCTACATCCCCAGCTCTTTTACTTTTTATGTTGAAACAGGGTCTAACTAAGTTGTTAATAAGTTAACCAGGCTGGGCTCAAACTTTTGATCTCAGAATGCTGGCGTTACAGGGGTGCGCCACCATGCCCAGCTTTACTTACTGTATCTTGAATAGGTTTTTTTGTTTGTTTTCTTTGAGACAGGGTCTCCCTACGAAGCCCAGACTGGCCTCAAACTTGCAGTGATCCCTCTGCCTCAGTCTCCTGAGTGCTGGGATTACAGGTGTGTAACACTACACCAAGTTAGTTTGCTTACACCACGTACCCCAGTGTTCTGTTGCTGTTTCTTTTTTTTTGTTTGTTTTTTTCTGGTACCAGGAATCGAACTCACGACCTTGCACTCGCCAGGCAGGCACTGTGCCGCTGAGCTAAATCCTCAGCCCCTGTTGCTGTTTCACTGACAGCTGAAGCAATAAAATAAACTTATTAAGAGCACCTCCCCTAGGGACACTTTGTTGATTTCTACTTAACTTTTCTTCTTACCGGTTATGAGACACCGAGCAAGTCCCTGGCCTGCTTGTGCTTCACTTCTTTCCCTTAAACTAAGGATAACAGCATCTGCCTCAGGAATATACGATGCGTCTGAGGTTAAAATAAGCTGTGACTTGAAAGAGATTAGTATAGCGCTAGCTCATTGTCAGCATTCACTAAGCATTCCTAGTATTACAACTAAAGTCTGGAGAACTGCCACGAAACATGTAGTACCTTAATAAATTCCAGTCATATATAACAAACATTCCTTTGGCTAACACATGTATACCTACCTTTGCTGCAATAATAATCTATTTTCTTTTTCTTTTAAAGCTTTCTTTAGTTCTGCTGTTCTTGAGGGCCTATGTAGGTATTTTCTTTTCCCAGTGCATTCATAAGTCCAATGTCCAAATTCCAAGCATTTCTGACATCTTACATGTTGCTTATTTGCTTCACTATAAAAGGAAAAAACACAACACA